AAATGTTCATTAAAACTAATAAAATTTAATAATAATAAAAAGAAAAACAAGTTTGAATCTGGTAGCCATTCTGCAGTAAAAAAAGATAGTCTCCTCCCATCAAGATTTACAGCCTTGAAAAATTGATGAAGGGTTGCTGAGTGTTGCAACCAAGTCAACAAAAGTGGATTTGGATTTGGTTTGTGAGGCAAATAGTAGTCTTCTCAGATTTGGCATCATCTACATTTCACTCTCAGTAACATCTGTAGTTTGACGCTTAAGTTAGATTTTGTAATAGTTAAGTGATAAATATACATAGAAAAATTTCCACTTTAAAAAGTATATATTAGTGTAGACTAAATGAGCTACAGGTAGGCAGTAATTTGCCTAGATAAATGACTTTCCTCTAATTTTGGAATTTGCAGTATAACTTCAAAATTTATTGAAAAATTAAAGCATGTCTTATAACAATGCCTGCACTAAGTTGAGAGTAATTAGAAGGCTATCACTCAAGCATGGTTTAAACTGTTCATACTCCACTTTTAGACTATTCAGATTAATATTTGTGAATAATACATTGATGAATAATAAGAAAAATTTTGTTAAATGTTTGAAATTTTTAATTATGTAATAAAGACAAATTTGGTTGTTTTAACAGAGAATTTTGACACAAAGAGGAATGAACTAACAAGACAGGGATTTATGGACCTGAATCTAATGGAAGCCAATGATCGAGAAGGAGATCCTAGTGATCTTTGGGTGACACTACACTCAATGGGATACAATCGAGCTCTGGAGCTGAGAGAGGTAACACAATATTTGCTATTTAGGTTAACTTACATATTATTTTACCCTATAAACAATTTTTAAGAGGTAATTTTGAAACATATCTTTTGAAATGAGTGCTCTATTCCTTGAATTTTAGTATATGAATGAATCCTGAATGCAGCAGCATATTTCTATTATTTGATGCAAGTTCATATTTCACTGGAAATTTAATTACTGCCAATATTTAAATAATTTAAGGAAGAAAGAATTTGAGCATATGCAGGAGATAAAGTAATTTCAAATATTGCACTCTTTAACTAGAGTTACTGAAGTCTCATTTCTATAGGGAAAGTCTTTGTCCTCTTAGGATAAGGGAAACAAGTCTTTATGAGACCTAAAATTACTAATTTTTTCCCAAAGGAATGTCTTGGATTAGTGTTTATACTAATTAGTGTTTATATTTGAAACTGGCTTTTAGAAAGCATTATGTATATGCTGATTATTAGTAAAGCTATAGAAATTGATAAAGAGTTGCAGTAAACTAGGTCAATAAATATTTCTTAAAATCAGTATTTTTTTTTGTATGGGTTAAAATGCAGAATTTAAAGAGTTTCAGTCTTTGACCATACCTCAATTTTTATAATAAATTTTATATAAATTTATTTATATTCTTAAAAATAAAAAGTTGTGTCTGCTGTTTTTCTAAATGCATCATTTATGAGGGTAACATTAACTTTGACATATTTTTAATATGCTGAGACCTTAGTTTAATTCCTAATTTAGGTATTATTCAAGATCCTCCATAAAACTATTTGCTGACGAATTTTCTATAATTTTTTGCCATTGTTAATACTAGGAAGTGAATATTTATAGTAACTTTTGACATTTAACTTCAACCTAACATTCATAGAGTTCCCGCATTTTGACCATGGTATAAAACCACCAACCAATCTATGAATGTTATTGATTCTGTTACACATGCTTTCAGTTAATGGAGAAATTCGTTAAGAGCAGTTAAAACTTCTTGTAGCAATTATTGATGTCATTGACCTATGAAATCATAGACTGGAAGGGTTTCTTAGTTTAAACTCTAAATTTTATTTGTTTACTTATTGAATAGATATTATATTCACATCACTTAAAATTAAAGCATAAACAAAACTATATACAGTGAAAATTGTCCGGATGATTAGACTAGTATTCACTAACTGAAATAAAAACATGACGATTAATTTATTAATAAGAGAATGGAGTCCCAGATGGTCTGGGACAGTACATTTTAGCCTACTGACCAAAAAAGTTGGTAGTTTGAATCGACCAGCTGCTGCATGGGGCGAAAGATTAAGTATTTTCTTCCCATAAAGATTTCCAGCCTCAGGAATCTGGTGGAACTTTGCTGTGAATAAAAATTTACTTGATGGCAATAAATTATAGTGAACTTTTTCTTGTAAGGCAAAGTTATACAGGTTGCGGGCACAGGCTTTCCATGAAGCTTGAGAGATGCATTGATTTCAGGAATTAGCCCATATTCAGAGGCATAAATGGTTTTGATAGCATGTGGGGAAGCATAGTAACTTAGGTGAAAAGTTGATTGATATGTGTAGGTATGTTTATTGAATCAATCCTTTCTCTGCTTTCATGATTTTTAGAAATGAGGAGCTGGCATTGTATGACTTGCAAAAGTGTGTTCAGTTGCTGGTTGTTGGAGCAACTTTGAGGTTTAAAACCAATTTTGAACTAAAATCAAACCCACTGCTGTCACACCTGTTCCAACTCATGGCGACCCTTCGTTGGATTTCTGAGACTATAAATCTTTACACAAGAACACTGATCTTTCCCTCATAGAACTGTTGGTATATTCAAACTGCCAACCTTTCACAGTATCACATATAACACACTACTCCACCAATTTAACCCACTGCTGGTGAGTTGAGTCCTACTCAGCATACTCCACCAGATTTCTGAGGCTGTAAATCTTACCAGGAAGAGACCCTCTGTCTCCTACTGAGCAGCTCATTTATAGATTTGAACTGCCAACCCTTTGGTTAGTAGTGAAACACATTACATGTCACACAACTAAAGCTCTCTATAATTTTAGTGGCCACTTATTTCCATAACAGCAGAATAATCACTTTTTTCATAATTTGTGAGACTTTTTTTGTTCTTTATCTACCTTTTTGGTTTTCATTTAACTAAAGTTATAGGAAAGACTATCAAATATTTACTCAACAAATGTTGTTGATTCTCAAGTGGTTTATTTTGTGTGATTTGAACTGCCTGACTTTGAGTTCACCACAGAGTAACACCTTACCCAGAGATTTATAGCAAATGGAATACTATAAAGAACTAATATACTAACATATATATATTACTGAAATACTTTAGAATACTATAGAGATAATCTAACAGCGCATTATGCTAAATGGACTATTCTAACTTAAGTCCTTATATATGCTTTTTAAAGCTCACTGGAAGGTAAGCTATGAATTAGTTATGACTTGATGATATGTAACAACAACAACAACAATAACTAACAGTATTGTCTTTACCTGTCCCACAAGCCTCTGGGAAAGTGAAAAAGTGCTTAGCCAAACTGGAAAGTTATACCCTTTGTTTTCCAAAGAATGTCCAGAAGCCAAGTCCTCAAAAGTTGATTGCTAAGCCAAAAACCCTGCCATAAGCACATGATCATCCATAGTAGACAGCTTCTGGTGAAGACTGTTGGAATAAAATTCTTCTACATGTTATATTCTTCATTGCAAAATTCTGAAAATTCATAATTTCCTTATTGGTTTATCACATTCCTTTAACTGCTGATTACAATTTGCTTTAAGTTTAGGTTTTAAGAAAAATGTCCTTATGTGTTAAGAAATTAAACAGCACTATGAGCAACAGAAAATACAACATTGGACTATTTGTCACCATACTCAGAGATTATCTACCTTGTAATGATTGTATCTCCTTTGGAGTTCCTATGTGAAAAAGACTAATGACAACTCAAAAATAAGGTTAATTGATCTGTACAGTTATTAATTACACTACTCCCAGGGTATGTCTTCCTAACACTCTCAGTGGGTTATATGTTCTTATATATAGGTTTTTTTTTAAAAGTTTTAAAAATTATTATTATTAATTTTAATGAATAGTTACAGACTTTGGATTTTCATTTATTCATTGTTGCACTTTTCTCCCTGCCTACTTCTCCCCCCCACAAGTTCACACTTCTCTTTGAATTATAAAACAAAAATTCTTTCATTGTTATACATATAGTTTTAAAGAATAAATTCTTTCTGGGAAAAACTTCTGAAAATTAGTGAACTGTTTGCTCCAGGTGGTTATAAAAAAAAATTATTCCCTTGTGTTGGGTGACACAATGTATGGCTGATACAGTCTAAGCCTATGTGGTACAACTGTTTGAATTCTTTAGCTCCGGCAGTTATGAATAATAAAACTTTTTTCTTTTCTTTTCCTTTGGCCAACCAGCAGGGGCTGTGCAGCCATGATAGTATTTGCTCCTGCTGTATCTGGATTAACACTAAGTAAAACACTCTACAACTATCTAAGACACTTAACTCAAAAGAGAAAAAGTTTCTTGCTCTAGTCTGTAACATCTTAGATCATGCTTCTGGAATGCCCTCAAGTTTCTTTTTAGAATTCTTTTTGTTATATTTATTTGTCTAAGAGTTTTTTGATGTCTGTTGTCTAGAATCTTAAAATGCTTCTGAACTGCCATGGTTCCAATATATGTTTCAACAAAATTCACAGACAAAAGTAGGATGAAACCATGCTGATCAAAGCACAAACTGAAAATCAGACCACAGCAAAATAAACCACTTGAGAATCAACAACATTTGTTGAGTAAATATTTGATAGTCTTTCCTATAGCTTTAGTTAAATGAAAACCAAAAAGGTAGATAAAGAACAAAAAAAGTCTCACAAATTAAGAAAAAAGTGATTATTCTGCTGTTGTGGAAATAAGTGGCCACTAAAATTATAGAGAGCTTTAGTTGTGTGACATGTAATGTGTTTCACTACTAACCAAAGGGTTGGCAGTTCAAATCTATGAATGAGCTGCTCAGTAGGAGACAGAGGGTCTCTTCCTGGTAAGATTTACAGCCTCAGAAATCTGGTGGAGTATGCTGAGTAGGACTCAACTCACCAGCAGTGGGTTAAATTGGTGGAGTAGTGTGTTATATGTGATACTGTGAAAGGTTGGCAGTTTGAATATACCAACAGTTCTATGAGGGAAAGATCAGTGTTCTTGTGTAAAGATTTATAGTCTCAGAAATCCAACGAAGGGTCGCCATGAGTTGGAACAGGTGTGACAGCAGTGGGTTTGATTTTAGTTCAAAATTGGTTTTAAACCTCAAAGTTGCTCCAACAACCAGCAACTGAACACACTTTTGCAAGTCATACAATGCCAGCTCCTCATTTCTAAAAGTCATGAAAGCAGAGAAAGGATTGATTCAATAAACAGATGCTATCACAACTCAACTCATTGCTGTTGAGTCAGAACTGACTCACAGCAGACTCTCCAGTGGGTTTTCGGGGCTGTAAATAGCATGGGAACAGACTGCCCATCTTTCTCCCTTGGAGCAGGTTATCAGAGGCTGTAAACTGGACATCAGAGATGTTATCAGAGGCTGTAAGATGGACGAGACTGTCCATCTTTCTTCCATGGTGCAGCTGGTGGAGTTGTGATAGCATCTCTTTTAGGAATCAAATATTAACTATAAATTTTGAAAAGATGCCTGAGAAAGCTTTATGAAACCTCTTCAATTACATTTAAAAAAATAAATTGTTTTTTAAAAAAATAAGTAAATTAAGTTGAATGTTCTTATATGCCTTGGCACCAGCAGTCAGAAAGGAAAAGGTGATTGTCATTGGGAAAATCTTCTGTCAAGGACCTCTATATTTTTTTTTTCAAGAACCTCTTAAGAGTGCTAAAGAACCATGCTATCAGTCTAAAGTAATGTGTACCTCATCTAAGCCATGTTCTTTTTAGTTGCTTGCTATGTATCTGAAAGCTAGACAGTCAC